CGTTGCGCGCACGGTGTGGGCTCGTTTCGGTTCGCGAAGCGGCGGGAATAAATTTGGGGTGCGGGACGTAACAAGCGTGGCTAACGAGGTACGGCAGATTTTATGGCCAGATGGAGATGATGCGATATCCGCGATTGATGCTGTACACAGGGGGTACTCCAAGCAGGGTCTCTCTCTCCTCCTCGATTACGAGACGGATTTGCTGTTCTCTTATTAGGACGCCACGTGTAATCAGACCGCAGTATTAAATAGTTATAAAGACAACGAAGCCGAGATTATTACAATTAAAAAAAAAAAAGGAAGGAATTGCACGGTAATTACATTTTGACCCTAATTCTTTTAATCAAATTTTGCTTGTGGAAAGAGTTTTATAAATAAGCTATTATCTCCGTATAATATATAATTTTTTAATATTCAATATTAAGTATTCTCGCGGATAAATACAAATCAAAAACCTTGAGATTTGTTAGATTCTATACAAATAGTAAAACATTTTGTTATTTAATCGTATTTTCCAAAAACGTTGTTTGCGAAAACTGACAATATCCTCATGTCCTATCGTTTAAAGTTCAAAAACTCGATATTTTATTCAAATAAAATTGATACAAAATTTGTCATTAAAATAAAAATAATGTGTCCTAGAAGTAGTATGACAAAAGTGGGATAAGCAGTAAAAATCAAGTTTTAAATAAATATGCGTGTATTAATAATAATAAAATATCATATATTTCGAAACTTAATAAGCAGATTTAATAAGCTTAGAAACTTACAGTTAATTTTAGTTTTCCATCTTTTGCATTGCATGAAAACTATTTGAAACAAGCGAAGGAGAAATCCGCCGCTGAAAAAGCGCAAAAGCGACACACGGATACTCGGATTCGATAACGCGCTTTTTTTCGTGGATGCGATCTCGTAACGTACCGTCACTGACTTTTACTGTCTGGAAGAAGCACACACGCCAAGGACGAAGGTACGATTCTCTCTCGTGTAGATCGGGTAGAGTTACGACCACGAAGCGTAGAGAACTGCAGTCAGATTCCATGTCGAACAACAGAAAGCGATTCACGACAGTTTATCGTAGGATGCAAGCGGCCAAAATGACTGCTCGCGAGGCAAATTACTTCTGAATCTGTGCCGAGTGCATCATAAAAAGCGGCCGTTTTCTCCCACCCGATCGACCGCATACGAAAATATAGCTCTTTGACTGACAATAAGAAGCTCGCGCGAGAGAGATGTTGCAATAAATCGAATCAATATTATGTTGGCAAACCAGAAAAGATTGGAGATTAATCAAGCTAAATTGACTCTTGATAAAATAAAAAAGATATCAGTATAAACCTCTTCATAGTAAAATGATAGAGGCCAAATTTTGCTGTAAAACATTTTTGCATTCGTTTTTTTTAATAAAAACCTTTTTTTGTATAAAATTTAAAACAAATGACAATTATTTAAAAAAATAATTACTGTTATATGTTTGTGAATTTTATAATAAGATTTTGTGATAGCGATTCACCTAGTAACTTATGATTTATTCTAGTAATAAAATCGTAAATTGAACGAACAATATATTTTTTGCGGTTTGCAAATGTGCAAGTTCTTAATTAAGAAATTGTAAATGTATAATTGAAAAAACATTTTGGAGCAAGTTTTAACAGACTCATGAATAACGATTATTCACCTTATGGGACACGTTCCCAAAAATGCATTTTAGGAGCGGAGGTTGATTAAACGTTGAATAATTAATTATTCTATTTCACTGTCGCGGAATTTCACAAATTCATCGGTATCATCCGTTCCATTGTTCATCACTTTCATGAAGGGGATGAGAAGTTATTAAAGTGAATAAAATACATGATATAACAACATGATAAGTAGTCAGAAAAAGTACTTTAATTTTGTGTGCAAATAGATATAAACAAATATATTTAAAAAATAAATATTTAATTAAATACATAAAAAGAGTGAACAAAAAATTCTACTTTTGTTTCTCTGTCATTTAATTTTATTTACGCTCACAGAGAAATTAAATTCATATAAAACAAATTTATTTAATTAATAAGCAAATTTTACAAACAACAGAAAATATGCTATAAAATTTAAAACAATGGGCAGTCAATTATTTTAGCCATTTTATTTATAATTTTATTACAATCATAAAAAAATAAGTTACAAAAGATTCTCAAATCTCTTTCTCTTCATAGAGAAGATCTAATTCTAGCGCCTTGTAACGAGAATTTCATTCGACAATGATTCGACAAAAATAAACTGTCAGCTTGCAATTTTTTCGAAATCTACGGTTATCTGCCGGCTCTATCGTTGTTGCTGTGTCATGCGTGCCCGACGCCGCACTGCGTGAGTATTAAAGTCGCGCGAAATGCTGCCCGCTCTGTCACGTCGTCATTCGACGAGGGTCGGCCTGCTCGGGCGCGATATGCCCATCATCGTCGTGAGTACGACGAATCGGTGGAACTTATACGCTATGCGCGAGGGTGGCCGAACTGTGCGGGGTGTCGATGGGGTACAGGGTTGATAGTGAACAGGCGCAGCTAGTGGGCGGCAGAGTCGTTTCGTCGGCGTTAATTACCAGATCGTGCCTTTCACGAGGCAAACTCGTTCGTTCTTTTCACCGTGGCTATTAATTCCCTCGCAACCTCTTCATTCTCCTCCTCCCTTTTGGCTCATCTATCCATCTATTTCTATCTCTGGCCTCGTAGCACTTCGCTCGAAAGAACCAGATTCCACGGAAGAAACGAAGGGTAAAACGAAGAGTACTTATCAGATGTGCGAAGACAAAGGTCGCCGGAATCACGGCTGAATTCCGCGACTGGACACGCTCAAAGGTACAGAGACGCTGGTTTCGCCCATCCCCTATAGTCGCTCCTGCAGCACATCAAGCTTGAACTCGGACGCATTTCATTACGTGCCTCTTTGTCCCATATATTCCTCTCGCCACGCCACTTTTGTTGCGCGACGAAATAAGGGCGCGTGATATTATGACAAAGGAAACGCTCACGCGGGTTGCACGAATTGTTTTTCCTTTATTACATTTCTTTTTTTTTTTTTTTTTTTTTTTGTACCGTCAGTGTTTTATATTTTTGTCTAATATATATATTTACTCTGTATATATTAACGCTATTAAATAAAACTTTATCTAAATCAATTTTAAAAAGCGATAAATGAGCCACAATGCATTATATATGTAACTAAGAGTGACTTCAAATAATGATTTAAATTTTTGGAAATTAAGTTTTAATATAAGTTTTAAAATATAAACAAATTGAAGTTTAAGGATTTTGACAATTTAATTTAAACGAGCTTTATATGAACCAAATACTCGTTATTTTAATTTTAAACGCATATATATATATANGATTTAAATTTTAAGTTTTAATATAAGTTTTAAAATATAAACAAATTGGAGTTTAAGGATTTTGACAATTTAATTTAAACGAGCTTTATAGCTTTATATTACTCGTTATTTTAATTTTAAACGCATATATATATATATATATAATGAAAATCTAATTTATAATCAATTTTTGTTAAGATTTTTATAATCTTGGCATTTTATTAATTCTACTTTTTCTTTTGTGATTAATAGAGAATTAATTTTTTTCACTTGCTAGAAACATGATAAAATTTATACAATAATTTTGACCATAAAGAAAATAATAATCCGAGATAATACTTATATTACATCAATCAATTTTACAAAATAAACACTTACATATCTCACATTTCGTTAAAAAAATGATAACAAAATACATCAACCTAGATGTAATTAAAAAGATCAAATTCTAGATACTAGATTCTACCATCATATTAACAGTAAATAAAATATTAAATAGAAAATATATTAAAGTCGGCTGAATATTATTCTTTCTCTTTCTCTCTCTTCCTTTTTAAGAAAAGAAACTGCATATTTATTAACTATTTATAATTTAAAAATTGGCACGATCAACTTTTTGGTTAAAACAGATTCCAGAGTCTAACGTCGCAAAACTATTCCTTTCCAAAGGAAAGGCTTATCTCTTGTTGACAAAATTTTTATTTAATTTTAATGACGTAACAATTTTCAGGAATAAGTTGCTAGAAATGTGCTAAATTTTATTTTCTAAATAATATAGTGCGTGATGAGTGTTCAATAGAGCTAATAACATACGCTGACGCAGAATCCTATCTTCGGTTCATGAAGCTTTAATGATGATTCGTGGCGGACTGCATTATTGCAATCGACACTGTGCAATATTCTGGTGTTGTGGTTTATGGCGGATACTACAATCGGAAGTAGAAACTGTTTCGCGAAATACGCGAAATTATTATCGTACAACGCAAACAGTTACGTAATGCGATAGTCGGACAACTGTAAATAGGAATGTAATTACTAATATTGAGTGCAATTTACGTGATTAGTAATTAAAACGTGTATGGCCGATTTCATATAAATGCCACTTAAAATTTAAACATGGACATTATTTTTTCTGTCCTTTTCTGACCCTAGTTCCGGAAACATAGAAAAAAAATTTAATGCACGTGCACCGGCAATAATGATTATTTTATCAGGAGAAATATTTTTAAATATATGTGTGAAAAAACATATGTATGACAATAATTATAATCTATTCGTAAAAATAATTTTATATTATACGCGTGAGAGATAATTATTTACGATTTAGAGTTTATATGTGTATTTACAGGGAGTAATTTTATATATTATAAAATTGATGAAAATTAATCGCACATTCTTTCGTAAAAAAAAATAATTTTACATACAATAGTAATTATGTATAAGCAATAATTTTATATTGTGCGCGATAATAATTATTACAAAACGATTTTAATAATTAATAATTAATTAATAATTAATAATTAATCTAACTACAATAACCATATTCTTCTTATTTTACCAAGTTATACTATTTCTTGTTATTTATTACAAGCAATTGTTTCTTAGTAATTGTTCTTTAGTAAATTTATATATTTAGCGCCAAATGTATTTTCCTTTCCTTCTTTTTTTCTTTAAATAGGCTTATTGTTAGAAGTATCGAAAGAAGGGGGTTGTGGTATTTCTCCCACCGCCGGCTTTTCACTCGCTAACTTGTTGAGTCTCTCTCTTGGCAGATACAGTGCCCATGGGAAACGTTTTATGACAATTCTAAATCTTTTATGTGGATATTATTTTTCAATGACCTATAAAAGTTTTGTAGTAAAAAGAAGTATCCGTTGTAATATATTGTTGTAGCATTGTAGTGTGAAATGTATGTGACACTCGTTTTTTATGAAAGATTTATACAATTAAGATTGATATTTTAAGTAATCTAAATATAGATGCCTTAATATCCACATATCTTATTATCTATCGTATAAGAAAATAATAAAAATAGATAAGAAATTCTCGGTGAAATATCGATTGTGTAATATTCAGATCAAATGTGAATGAGCAGCACAATTGTAAAAGAAATGATTTTTTTAGCGAAGTAGAGAGACCACTTTGGAGGAAAGTTTTTTAAAAAGTTTTTTACGTAAACTGTAATTTTTTTAACGCTGCTATTAAAAACGGTCTATTCTTATTGTTTCATAATAATAATTACATTAAATCTCACGTAACGTTACTAAAGTAATTATGTAAAAAATGAGCCATATTTTTATTTTATCTTCTTTGGCGTTTTGAATTCTTGCGCAAAAGCCGATAATTGCGAAGACTGAAGTAATTATTAATGCCAAAATATTTTAGCTTTATGAAAATTTATGTTTTAATGCCGATCTCAAATAGATTTAAACTTCATTAAATTATATTTATCTGTTTGTAATATTGGCGAATTGAAAAATTATTCTTCTTTTAAAAACCGATATCATATACATAGACATACAAGATGATAAAAATCAAGATGATGAAATGTTTTCATGTAGAGTGTTTTATGGCTTTCCATAGTGTAACAAAGTTTTTTTCTGTTCTGTTAAAAAGCAACACGCAAAGTGCATTGAATGTAACTTGCGCAAGATTGACGATTCACTTAAGGGAACTCTATCTCTCAAAATCGTCTTACTCTTCGCCAAAGAATCACTTTCTACTCCCGTCCGCCCATGTTCCTGATACGCCATATGCATAAGAGGAAACTTCTTTCCTATGTATCTTCCTAGACGACAACGAAGACATCGGGATAGGCGATTTCTGAAGCGTGCAAAATCCTAAGAAACTAGACACGTGCTGAAAACTCGACGAGCTTATTTTTGCGCAAAGGACGCTCAGTGAAATACCGCCTGCAAATAATGATGATTAAATAGTTGAACTCTCACAGTGCTACTTCTAGTGATCACGCTCGCGAGAACATCAATCGCGATCGATTCAACAAGCGAGACAATCGTTTCTTATCGAATAGAAGAATATTCAATTTTACCATGAGTTTTTGGATGAATTGTCCGTCCTCGTTGTTGCTGTTGCTGTTAGGCCTGAGCCTGCATAGCGCGTGCATCACGCGAGCGAACGTCGCCGGCCAGCATGGTGGCCAGGACAATGGTCACGATGATCCTCTGTTGGTGGAGACTACGAGCGGCTTGATGCGCGGTTTCTCCCGTACAGTGCTTGAACGCGAGGTCCACGTATTCTACGGAGTGCCGTTCGCGAAACCCCCCGTCGGTCCGTTGCGGTTTCGCAAGCCGCTGCCGATCGAACCCTGGCACGGAATCCTGAATGCTACCACATTGCCCAACAGTTGCTACCAGGAGCGTTACGAGTATTTTCCTGGTTTCGAGGGTGAGGAGATGTGGAACCCAAACACCAACATCTCTGAGGATTGTCTCTATCTAAACATCTGGGTGCCACAGAAGCTACGTCTACGTCACAAACCTGAGTCACAGGACAACGCCGGTAATAATGGCATGGCGATATTAGTATGGATCTACGGCGGCGGCTTCATGAGTGGTACTGCCACTCTGGACGTTTATGACGCCGACCTTATGGCAGCGGCCGGCAATGCAATAATCGCATCGATGCAGTACCGAGTCGGTGCTTTCGGCTTTCTGTACCTCAATCAGCACTTTACCAACAGTGAGGAGGCACCGGGCAATATGGGCCTTTGGGATCAAGCTTTGGCTCTCAGGTGGCTGCGCGAAAATGCGCGCGCTTTCGGCGGCGATCCCGATTTGATTACAATTTTCGGCGAATCCGCAGGCGGCAGTTCGGTATCTCTACACCTGATCTCACCAGTTACACAGGGTCTAGTACGCCGGGGGATTCTTCAAAGTGGCACTCTGAACGCCCCATGGAGTTACATGACCGGCGAAAAGGCGAATGAGGTGGCCCGAGTATTGGTAGACGATTGTGGATGTAATTCGACGATGCTGCAGGAAAACCCGGCGCGAGTTATGGCCTGTATGAGGTCGGTGGATGCAAAAACCCTCTCCGTGCAGCAGTGGAACAGTTATTGGGGCATCCTCGGCTTTCCGTCGGCGCCCACTATTGACGGCGTCTTTCTACCTAAGGATCCGTTGGACTTGGTCAGGGAGGCGGACTTCAAAGACACCGAGATCCTGATTGGAAATAACGAAAACGAAGGTAGGGACATCAGTGTGTATGTATGTATATATGTATGTGTGAGAGTGTTTTACAGTGGCATTATTGTGATGCTATTTATGGCCGGTGGCGCGGTTAAGCCACCAGCATACTATATGGCTGGCTTTTTGTGAATGAAAATATGTGTCTACATGGCTTTACATGGCGTTCTTTGGATTACTAGCGGAAAGATGTGAAATAAGAGAATTTTTATAAATCTTTTAGATTTTTTAATTACGATTATTTTAATATGTTGATAATTCAATTTGTGCATCGAGACTCAGTTTACGATCTAAAAATATGAGTATATAAAAATAATGGCTTGTGAAGATTACATTTATCTATTGACGCGATTTTTCTTCTTATATCACTTTCGATTCAGTAAAAAGAAGTTTTTTTCTGCATAACATATGTATTATGTATATATGTAGGATTCACATGTAATTATTATACATATACAAAATTTGGTATATACATTTGAGACATATTTGATTGAGTTACATTTAAGTTAATTTTTTAATGATCTGTCATTGATGATGTATTTTATTTTTAGCTTTAAATATTTTCTTAGAAATAGATTTCTGAATAAAAATTTTTTGAAAGAGATTCTTCAAATCAACTGCAAAAAAAATTACGTATATCTCTAAAATTTAATTAAAATAAATATCAATTTAATTTCTTTGTATTATTTAATTTTTTTACAGTAAAGCTTAGAATTTGCATTAAATTTTTTTAAAGAAAAAGTAGACTTTGAAATTTTATTTATTAAAATTAATCGTTAAAATTTGATTTGATGCAAGATATACGTTGAATTATTGTACGTGGGGACCAGAATATTCTTAATATATATGTATTAAAATAATTTAAGTGCTCTTAAATGCTTTCAATTTCCCTAGTTTTGTTAATTGTGTCTCACATTTATTGTCATTAACCAACTGTCTTATTCATTGTTTTTAAAATTAGTTATGATTCAATTATTTCGCGGTTATTAGAATCGTGAATTTCTTCATTTACTGCATATATGCTTTTCGCGATAATCTTGAAGTCGTAAAATAGTATATATCTGTTTGTGTTGTATGTGTGTGTGTGTGTGTGTGTGTGTGTGTGTGTGTGTGTGTGTGTGTGTGTGTGTGTGTGTGTGTGTGTGTGTGTGTGTGTGTGTGTGTGTGTGTGTGTGTGTGTGTGTGTGTGTGTGTGTGTGTGTGTGTGTGTGTGTGTGTGTGTGTGTGTGTGTGTGTGTGTGTGTGTGTGTGTGTGTGTGTGTGTGTGTGTGTGTGTGTGTGTGTGTGTGTGTGTGTGTGTGTGTGTGTGTGTGTGTGTGTGTGTGTGTGTGTGTGTGTGTGTGTGTGTGTGTGTGTGTGTGTGTGTGTGTGTGTGTGTGTGTGTGTGTGTGTGTGTGTGTGTGTGTGTGTGTGTGTGTGTGTGTGTGTGTGTGTGTGTGTGTGTGTGTGTGTGTGTGTGTGTGTGTGTGTGTGTGTGTGTGTGTGTGTGTGTGTGTGTGTGTGTGTGTGTGTGTGTGTGTGTGTGTGTGTGTGTGTGTGTGTGTGTGTGTGTGTGTGTGTGTGTGTGTGTGTGTGTGTGTGTGTGTGTGTGTGTGTGTGTGTGTGTGTGTGTGTGTGTGTGTGTGTGTGTGTGTGTGTGTGTGTGTGTGTGTGTGTGTGTGTGTGTGTGTGTGTGTGTGTGTGTGTGTGTGTGTGTGTGTGTGTGTGTGTGTGTGTGTGTGTGTGTGTGTGTGTGTGTGTGTGTGTGTGTGTGTGTGTGTGTGTGTGTGTGTGTGTGTGTGTGTGTGTGTGTGTGTGTGTGTGTGTGTGTGTGTGTGTGTGTGTGTGTGTGTGTGTGTGTGTGTGTGTGTGTGTGTGTGTGTGTGTGTGTGTGTGTGTGTGTGTGTGTGTGTGTGTGTGTGTGTGTGTGTGTGTGTGTGTGTGTGTGTGTGTGTGTGTGTGTGTGTGTGTGTGTGTGTGTGTGTGTGTGTGTGTGTGTGTGTGTGTGTGTGTGTGTGTGTGTGTGTGTGTGTGTGTGTGTGTGTGTGTGTGTGTGTGTGTGTGTGTGTGTGTGTGTGTGTGTGTGTGTGTGTGTGTGTGTGTGTGTGTGTGTGTGTGTGTGTGTGTGTGTGTGTGTGTGTGTGTGTGTGTGTGTGTGTGTGTGTGTGTGTGTGTGTGTGTGTGTGTGTGTGTGTGTGTGTGTGTGTGTGTGTGTGTGTGTGTGTGTGTGTGTGTGTGTGTGTGTGTGTGTGTGTGTGTGTGTGTGTGTGTGTGTGTGTGTGTGTGTGTGTGTGTGTGTGTGTGTGTGTGTGTGTGTGTGTGTGTGTGTGTGTGTGTGTGTGTGTGTGTGTGTGTGTGTGTGTGTGTGTGTGTGTGTGTGTGTGTGTGTGTGTGTGTGTGTGTGTGTGTGTGTGTGTGTGTGTGTGTGTGTGTGTGTGTGTGTGTGTGTGTGTGTGTGTGTGTGTGTGTGTGTGTGTGTGTGTGTGTGTGTGTGTGTGTGTGTGTGTGTGTGTGTGTGTGTGTGTGTGTGTGTGTGTGTGTGTGTGTGTGTGTGTGTGTGTGTGTGTGTGTGTGTGTGTGTGTGTGTGTGTGTGTGTGTGTGTGTGTGTGTGTGTGTGTGTGTGTGTGTGTGTGTGTGTGTGTGTGTGTGTGTGTGTGTGTGTGTGTGTGTGTGTGTGTGTGTGTGTGTGTGTGTGTGTGTGTGTGTGTGTGTGTGTGTGTGTGTGTGTGTGTGTGTGTGTGTGTGTGTGTGTGTGTGTGTGTGTGTGTGTGTGTGTGTGTGTGTGTGTGTGTGTGTGTGTGTGTGTGTGTGTGTGTGTGTGTGTGTGTGTGTGTGTGTGTGTGTGTGTGTGTGTGTGTGTGTGTGTGTGTGTGTGTGTGTGTGTGTGTGTGTGTGTGTGTGTGTGTGTGTGTGTGTGTGTGTGTGTGTGTGTGTGTGTGTGTGTGTGTGTGTGTGTGTGTGTGTGTGTGTGTGTGTGTGTGTGTGTGTGTGTGTGTGTGTGTGTGTGTGTCGAAATAAGTACATATAATATAAAAGAAGATTCGAAAAAACGGACGAATATGGATTAATGCTTATCGATCTCTTCCAATTCGTGCAGACCTCTTTCAGACCACGTTCTCGCTTCTCCGATATCCGCCAGCTTCTACCGCGCACGATAGATTCGAAACGAATCGCGGTCAGCTTGCACTGTGTAAACGAACGATTCCAACCAACCGCCATTCAACGCGAAAGGGCTGACGTGCGCGCAAAAAAAAAAAAATAGGAATCGATT